CGAAACGTAAAGACCTGAGCCGCGAGGGGGCAAAGCTAAAAAATAAATAAAATGATTAATTTGAAGAGGTGAGCGGAGATGTTCCGAGAAACGCAACGTGATCTACATGAAGCGCATCGCCTTGAACACTCCGGCCGCCGGGGCTTCGTGAGGTCGTTCCGTTGGCTTACAAGGTCGCACTCATTACACACAAAGTGCTTGCCACAAATGAACCACAATACCTTGCTGATCTCGTCGACGAACATAAACCACCATCACGCGAACTCCGATCATCCTCAAAGCAGCGGCATTTTGGCTCGCCGTAGTCGAACAAATGCAGTCACTGCATCGAGTGCTTTCAGATGCGCTTCTGCAGCCACTTGGAACGCTCTTCCTTCACATATTAGGAAGCCACTGGAGCTATGCACTTTTAAATCATCTAGATTGTAAACGCATTTCTTTAGAACTGCTTTTATTATTCAGTTTGTTGTCTTTCCCCCGCATCTCCGATTAGCACGGTTGGCAACGTACAGTGCGAAAGAAGTTCAACATATGTGTTTAGGTCAAAATAGCCCTGATTCACATGTCATAAATAGAGGCCAGAAAAATTGAGCGGAGGATACGAATTGGAGACTGCACTTTACACCGTGGGGTCTGATGGTAATGGAGCCTTATAAGAATTTAATTAAATTTAAAACTCATCAGGCCCCATGGTAGAAAGTTAATTTTATTAATTTACCTCGTTATACATTTGCCAAAGGTCGCAATTTACTTAATTTTTTAATATTAAAATAAACAGTTAACACAGTTTGTACATGTACAGTGAGGGAAAAAAGTATTTGATCCCCTGCTGATTTTGTACGTTTGCCCACTGACAAAGAAATGATCAGTCTATAATCTTAATGGTAGGTTTATTTGAACAGTGAGAGACAGAATAACAGCAAAAAATATCCAGAAAAAAGAATGTCAAAATGTTATAAATTGATTTGCATTTTAATGAGGGAAATAAGTATTTGACTCCCTCTCAATCAGAAAGATTTCTGGCTCCCAGGTGTCTTTTATACAGGTAACGAGCTGAGATTAGGAGCACACTCTTAAAGTGAGAGCTCCTAATCTCAGCTTATTACCTGTATAAAAGACACCTGTCCACAGAAGCAATCAATCAATCAAATTCCAAACTCTCCACCATGGCCAAGACCAAAGAGCTCTCTGTCAGGGAAAAGATTGTAGACCTACACAAGGCTGGAATGGGCTACAAGACCATTGCCAAGCAGCTTGGTGAGAAGGTGACAACAGTTGGTGCGATTATTCGCAAATGGAAGAAACACTAAAGAACTGTCAATCTCCCTCGGCCTGGGGTTCCATGCAATACCTCACCTCGTGGAGTTGCAATGATCATGAGAACGGTGAGGAATCAGCCCAGAACTACACGGGAGGATCTTGTCAATGATCTCAAGGCAGCTGGGACCATAGTCACCAAGAAAACAATTGGTAACACACTACGCCGTGAAGGACTGAAATCCTGCAGCGCCCGCAAGGTCCCTCTGCTCAAGAAAGCACATATACATGCCCGTCTGAAGTTTGCCAATGAACATCTGAATGATTCAGAGGACAACTGGGTGAAAGTGTTGTGGTCAGATGAGACCAAAATGGAGCTCTTTGGCATCAACTCAACTCGCCGTGTTTGGAGGAGGAGGAATGCTGCCTATGACCCCAAAAACGCCATCCCCACTGTCAAACATGGAGGTGGAAACATTATGCTTTGGGGGTGTTTTTCTGCTAAGGGGACAGGACAACTTCACCGCATCAAAGGGACGATAGACGGGGCCATGTACCGTCAAATCTTGGGTGAGAACCTCCTTCCCTCAGTCAGGGCATTGAAAATGGGTCGTGGATGGGTATGCCAGCATGACAATGACCCAAAAACACGGCCAAGGCAACAAAGGAGTGGCTCAAGGAGAAGCACATTAAGGTCCTGGAGTGGCCTGGCCAGTCTCCAGACCGTAATCCCATAGAAAATCTGTGGAGGGAGCTGAAGGTTCGAGTTGCCAAACGTTAGCCTCGAAACCTTAATGACTTGGAGAAGATCTACAAAGAAGAGTGGGACAAAATCCCTCCTGAGATGTGTGCAAACCTGGTGGCCAACTACAAGAAACGTCTGACCTCTGTGATTGCCAACAAGGGTTTTGCCACCAAGTACTAGTCATGTTTTGCAGAGGGGTCAAATACTTATTTCGCTCATTAAAATGCAAATCAATTTATAACATTTCTGACATACGTTTTTCTTGATTTTGTTTTTATTATTCTCTCTCACTGTTCAAGTAAAGCTACCATTAAAATTATAGACTGATCATTTCTTTGTCAGTGGACAAACGTACAAAATCACCAGGGGATCAAATACTTTTTTCCCTCACTGTATTACAGGCATATCTCGCTTAACGGGGGTTCTTTATATGAGAATTCACGATCAACTCCAATTTAGACCAATTTGTTCGCTGGACGAGCAAAATTTTCACTTAGTGAGCGGGGACCGGATCGATGGAATGCGTGCCATGGCGGCAGGGGGCGCACGGCGGGCCGCAGCTGTTGGTTTACCCCTGTGCTGTGTGCCCGCGTGTTTCGTCGTGTGGGGGAGCGGGCCTCGTGGTGGCACTGTAATGGGTGGCCGGGGGCGGTAGGGGTGGGTGGCAGTGCTATTTAATTGCAGACGCTGAGGACAAGAAGTAGCGCTCCGTCTGGCATCCCCGAATAGTGGCTCGTTGTTTCAGGAGTGTAATATTTTGGGGCTGAAACGTAGCTCAGCTTTTAACATGCGTCAGTCACTCATCGCTTAATGAGTTTCGCTTACTGAGTAATTTTCGCGAAACATATCTCACTCGTTAAGCGAGACGCGTCTGCACTCTATTACCCTGTACAAATAACAGCTCAAAAAAGTCCACATCTCCAAAAGCCAACCAGACAAAATCCTATCCATGAGCCTTCCGGAACAAATTTCCCCGCGTCATTTATTACTCAGGCAGGCAAATTCTACACCCGTTTCGACTGTCTGAGTCTCATCGGCCAAGTTGGGCCTGTTACACAACTAACCGCTGCTTGTTGGATGACCCTAGAAAGTTTTCACTTTCAGACGTCGCCTCGAAGCCGCGCTTGTGGTGACCCCCCCCCCCCGTTATTACTGCAGCACTACCACGTGAGCTAAAACATCTCGCGCGTGATATATCTGTACATTCACGCCGGGTCCTGTAACACACACGCCGGGTCCTGTAACGCGCACGCCGGGTCCTGTAACACACACGCCGGGTCCCGTGACACACACGCCGGGTCCTGTAACACACACGCCGGTTCCTGTGACACACACGCCGGGTCTCGTAACACACACGCCGGGTCCTGTAACACACACGCCGGGTCTCGTAACACACACGCCGGGTCCTGTAACACGCATGCCGGGTCCTGTAACACACACGCCGGGTCCTGTAACACGCACGCCGGGTCCTGTAACACGCACGCCGGGTCCCGTAACACACACGCCGGGTCCCGTAACACACACGCCGGGTCCTGTAACACACACGCCGGGTCTCGTAACACACACGCCGGGTCCTGTAACACACACGCCGGGTCCCGTAACACACACGCCGGGTCCTGTGACACGCACGCCGGGTCCCGTAACACACCCGCCGGGTCCCGTAACACACACGCCGGGTCCGGTAACACACACGCCGGGTCCTGTAACACACACGCCGGGTCTCGTAACACACACGCCGGGTCCTGTAACACACACGCCGGGTCCCGTAACACACACGCCGGGTCCTGTGACACGCACGCCGGGTCCTGTAACACACACGCCGGGTCTCGTAACACGCACGCCGGGTCCCGTGACACGCACGCCGGGTCCCGTGACACGCACGCCGGGTCCCGTGACGCGCCGTCGTGCCCGCGGGTACCGAGCGCGCAGTCCGCAACAGGGCCCCATCCCGGCATCGCGAGCGGGCGGCCTGGGCTCCGTAACTGGGACAGCCACTGCAGTGACGGGAGGGGGGGGGACAGCACTCGCAGACAACGCCACGGCGATTCTCAGAAGTAGGCCGCGGTTTTTTTGCCGTTCACAATCCAGAACGAGCTCGTGGGGGGGGGGGGGGGGGGGCGCTGGGGGGGACAAAGAGTGCCGTGATTCGTAATCAGAAGTTTGTCACACCTCACTCGTCCAGAGTCGAAATCAACGAACGGCCACTTCGTATGGAGAGGTCGACAGTGGCCGTCCAATGTTTTGTGGAGCCACCGGCCCCTCTCACATTTCGCCTGGAATGTCTGCCGGCTCTGTGGAGATGACCGGTCTAACAATTAGCACGTGAAAGGTTACCTATCAGCAGCTGCAGAGGAACAGGCAATACCTCTTCAGTGATGCAAAAAACGAAATGCATAACCTACACGAACTCATTTGTATTAAAAGTAAAGCATTCGTAATCGTGCTGCCTCCTCAATAAAACTACTTCTAAATTTTACCGGTTAAGGCCCAACTGAGCTATAAATCTCTTTTTCAGAAGCGACATGGCCGCAGACGACAGCTCAACGAAGTGGCTTATCGTCACGTAGAAAATGTCTAGCAGTCAAATACTCTACACGCACGCTGTTTCTAAATGTGGAGGGAAAACCCGGGGAGGACCCGGAGAAAATCCACGCCACCACGGGGAGAGGAGAGCGCGCAAACCCCAAATATACCGCAGGCGTCAGGGTCGGGATCGAAACCACGTGGCCAGGTAAGCGGCCGCTCAAGTGACGCAAGCCCCGAGGGTCCGGCCCAGGTGCGCCACGAGGAGCGGTCGAGGAGAAGGGATTTCATTGTCGCCGATTTATATATTTGTTGTTATTTTCTTGAGCGAAACTTCGCATGAATTCCCATCTCTGGGTCTTTGTGGGCACGTGTCGGAGGGCTTGCCCCCGTGGTGACGGAGGAGCGGCGTTCAAGTGGCGACTGAAGATGAAGACGACGACAAAATGGAGAAATCACACGCGGGGGGCGGGGGTCAAATGGTTTCTCACGCCGTTCATGTTATGCCCGCTGCCACCGTGAAGGAGCGGTTACCACAGAATTGTGCAAATTCACAGACACGTTACACTTCCTCTGAACACGACATGAACGGTGAACGTACGATACATTTAAAGTGCAAGTCTAGGAAAGCAAATTGAATGCACAGCTAATGCGTGGGCGTCACAGCACAGAGTTATGGGAAACCCCATTACCCGTCTCTCTGTAGGGTGTGATAAATATGTCTGCACGCACGGGGCAACAGGCCTATGTCCAGACTCAAACGAGACTTCTCAACGCTTACATTCTCAGCTGCGAATCCACAGGCAAGACCACATGCCACAGTCGACTTCCAGCAATACATCGATTCACTGAGGATTCCCAGGACCTTTCAGTAAAGTATATCTTGGGTGCAATCGCTCTTGCCTCGTGGCCTTTTGGTTGCTCCGAGCAATATAATCAGCGGACCAACGATGGTGTGGGTGTCATCTTCCTTGCCTGGTATGCGGAAGGTCGGGAGCTCGATCCCGACCCTGACGCCTGCTGTATATTTGGAGTTTGCGTGTTTTCCCCGTGGTCGACGTGGATTATTTTCTCCGGGTCCTTCGCTTTTTCCCCTCCGCAATTAGAATATATAGATTATTTTGCTGCTGTGGATTTCCACATGATAAGCCACTTCGTTGAGCTATCACTTGTGGCCAGGTCGCTCCTGAAAAATAAGCCAATGGCTCAGTGGGCCTTTACCTAATTATATATAATGAAGTCAATTGTTTACTTGAATCTGTATATTTTTATTGATTTGTTAACCTTGCCTATATATTGCACTCCTATCATGTTTTGTGCAGTGTTTGTTGTTGTAACGTTCTGACATGCCCCGACTGGACATCTGTGAAAAAGAGCTTCATAGCTCATCGGATTCCTCCTCCAGTATAAATATTCTGATATTCCGATTCTGTAACCCCCCCCCCCCATCCTTGGACGATTGCACCCGAGTCGCTTCGGCCAGCATTGGCGGCAGGCACCAGTGGCGAACGTGGAACTCGACAAAAGACTTCGACGAAAACCTTCACGCGAGACACGAAGCTCAAGATCAGACGAGACGGAGCTTCCAAAACAGGGGCTGTCGAGGCAGGGGCAACGTACGGAATGGGTACACGGATTATAGCGGGACCACCGTAAACGTCCAAAGGCAGAAGTTCCCAACCTGTGTGTGTACCTCTTTCCCTCCGTACGTATCCCACCGTGCTAATCGGAGGCGAGGGTGGGGCAGGTCAACAAACTACTGCGACTCTGCAAGGCCGTGGTAAGTGGTCCGTGGAACTGTTGCAGATGCGATGGGTTGTGTTTTGTTTGTTTTTGTTTCACGGACCGCTCTTTGTTCTTACCGCCGACACGTTTTGCAATGTTGACGGTGTGGCGCAGCGGGGGGTGGTGGGGGGGTGCGGAAAGGTTTGGAACCACTGCCCGTAGGTGGTGTCGCGAGAACGTGCCGCTTACAATTCGTAGTCTCTAGTTGAGAGAGGTCAAGGGAGCCTTTAAGTGAACCGGCAGCCAATCAGGGCTTGGATGGTATGGGGCAGCTGCGTCCACCAAGATCCCCCCTCCCCTCCCCCGTATAGCCTTAATAGATTGTTGGGGCAAGTGCTGTTAGCGAGCACCTATGAAGGCCAGTGCGGCACACGACGGGGTCGGTGGCCAGCACAACGCCCGGCCGCCTTTGTCTCCCCAGTGGCGATGTTTACACATCACACCAGGTGCTCATTTGAGACTGAGCCGACTTAGGGGAGGCCCAGGACCGGTTCGGATAATTGTCACTTGGTGTTGGCCGTGAGCGGGAATCGAACTCGGGTCGTCGGGTTCGTAGCGCAGCGCGCTAACCGCTGCTCCACCACTCCCCGTTACACACGCGCGCGTGCTCTTGTGCTTGTCAGCAATGTTGCAACAACGGGGCTCCTGTCTGACAACAGCGATCAGCAAGACTGGGCACTGCTCAAGGGACGGACACACAGCATCTGCCAGCAAAACCTAAAACACGTGCGTGAATATACCGAGCAGTTTAAACAGGTGCACGCGCACACGCACGCGCACGCACGAGCGCGTGTGCGCGTGCGTGCGTGATAATTGCAACACCACTCTGTATGCGGACGGAGTTGCAAAGGGGAGCGCAACTCCTTGGTTAATGAAAGGTCAAATGTAGTTGGCTGCGAGGTCACGGATTAATTTCACAGCTCAACATTCAAGGAAGCCAGGCAGCGCCTGTATAAGGCAGCAAACAGCACAGCAAGTATGCTCCCAGTAGGGCTATCTGTGCAGCATTACTGCTACCCAACCCTGAATTCTTGTCGCAGCCACCCACGGTACCTGAGTGGACCGCACAGACCCCCCCCCCTCCCCCGGTGCTCGGGTCACGCTCTGGCGGCCGGTGGTGACGGACTGAGCAGTGGCAACTGATGTCCCAGCGTTCGTGGAATCCGTTGACCGACTAGACCAGGATTCCTGACTACTTTGCAGAGGTGGGGGGTAGGGGGCAGGGAGCACTTTCGTCGAGAAGACATCATCAGCGGTGTGAGGGCCGCCACACCATTTGAAACCATTGGGGGTTTAACAGCAGCACGATCGGGGTGTTTTCACTTGCTGTGTAATGTCGGGGGTCACACATCAGGGGCCGCACTAAAGGCCACCAGGGACCGCCAGTGGCCCGCAGGCCTTGCAGTGAAGAACACCGCTGCAGTGGGACAAGTTAAAGGTCAGCCGCCTTCGTTTTAGCGGCGTTTGAGATCTCCCTCTGCGATTGTCCTCCGGTTGGCGACAAAGTTCGTCCCCACACATCGAAAAACGTGGTGATGGTAAAGGTACAGCCTTGAAATTTCTAGATCGGGGGCCACTTACTGGTGAAAGTGCCTCCCCTCTAAAGGGGACAATCCCGACCGTCGGTAAAGATTTCTTGGGATAGATGTTTTAAATTCAATAGGACGGAAGCTGCCGATGTCCCAAGCCTGCAAAGAGCCGGTCGAGCGGCAGGCATGGAGGGCCCCACAACTCGAACGGTCGCGAGCGACTTGCGTCTCGGAGACTGTTGAGCCCTCGGCCGCAGACTCGCGTGTTAAGGCGGCCGTCCGAGCGGGCCCCTGCGGACGGGGAGATTCCACTCAGATCCACGCTCCCTTCTCGACATCTCCTCCAGGCACTTGCGTCACGTGACGGTCACGTCCCTTGATCCACCACGAAGCCCCTTCGAGCCACCCCGCGCGAGCGTTGGGCGGTTGCTTAATCACGCGCACCCTTCTGCATGACGTCCAACGTTTTCGCTCCGGCTGCTGGGAGCTCCCTCCAGCCCCGTGTCTCGCGGCCTCCTCTTCAAAAGTCGCTCGAACGGTCGAAGATCCGAGCGGCGCGCGGAGCGTGGACGCCGTCTCGCGCGGCCAGGCAAGGGCGCGGCGACGACACCGGAGAGCCGTCTCATGTGTCCTGTGCTCCGGCGGCGCCGCCGCCGCCGCCGCCACCGCTGCCTCGCAGCAGCCTCACGACCCTCCGGGCGTACGCGTCGCGCAGATTCCTCCCGCCGTCGCCGCCGGCGCCGGCCACGGTGGCCGCGGCGGCGGCGGCGGCGAGGCGCTCCTGCGAGAGGCTCCGCGCGAGCCTGCGCAGCGTCTTGCCCTGCCGCGCCGACGAGTCACGCGCCCGCAGCGTCACGTAGTACTCGGAGAACTTGTCGTTGATGGTGGCGATGGGCAGCGCGAGCACCAGGATGCCAAAGAGGATGCAGAGGAAGGCGACCGCCTTGCCCGCCGCCGTGTCGGGCCGGATGTCGCCGTAGCCCACCGTGGTCATGGAGGCGATGGCCCACCACCAGGCGGCGGGTACGCTCGGGTAGAGCGAGTTGGGCTCGGAGCCCTCGAGCGCGTGCTCCAGCGCCGCGAAGATGGAGATGCCCACGGAGAGGAAGAGCATGAGCATGCCCACCTCCTCGTAGCAGCGCGCCAGCGTCGTGCCCAGCGCGCGCAGCCCTGCGCGAGGAGAGACGCGTGGGGGGGGGGGGGTGCACTCGGGGTCAGGTGGGGGGGGCTCTGGGTCAGGTGTGGGGGAGGGCTCGGGGTCAGGTGGGGGGGGCTCGGGGTCAGGTGTGGGGGGACTATCGAGTGGGGGGCTCAGGGTCAGTTGTGGGGGGCTCGGGGTCAGGTGTGGGGGGGGGCCTGTACTGTCGAGTGGGGGGCTCAGGGTCAGGCGTGGGGGGCTCGGGTTCAGGTGTAAAGTCAGTACAGACCAAGTCAAGTAACGTATGCAAACTGCGGATCTGTCTTTGTTATGTTTCCTCTTGCAAATATGATTCATGTTTGTTTCATGAAAGTAACTTTAAACTGTATTTGTGCTGATTTCGTTTTTCATTGGATGGTAGCAAAATGCTGTGTTGCTGTCGTGATTTAAATTCACACGTTTGGTCTGGTGCCAATAAACTGCAACTTAAATCGCTACCAATGCGATCTTCTCTCAAAACTGCTCTAGAGAAGTTGTACACCCCTAGCTGCCACTGCTATTCATTGGCGTAAAATAAAATAAAATGTTTCGCTCCGGATGACGCTGCAAAGTATTATCTGTATTTTGATTTAGCGTGCTGATCTTAAAGGTGCATTGAAAAACTTGATACTCCGACTGATGCTTCTGTTGTTGTGGAGTAACTCATGCAGCCAGCTATGGCTCTAGGATTTGGTGCTACATGTTATTTATGTAATTTATTATAAACATTCGGTCACAGCCCCTGTGATCACTGTTACGTTGCAATTATGGCTTTATTTTTTGGTGATTTCGAAAAGTTTTTTGGTTTGGACATGTTTGTTTTGTTGTAGTACGGAGTTAGCCTGATGGCCTTAATCTAAGTTTTCTTGTTGTTATATATTTTCTTGGTTCTTTCGGTAAAGTCACGTAGAAGGGAAACAATAAAATAATAAAAATATAAAACAATAAAATTCTCACGACGTTTCGACTGCAACACAAGCAATCATCATCAGGTGTGAAAACCACAGCAAGAACATTTTTCAAAAGTGGAGGTTTTTTTATTGTTTCCCTTCTACGTGACTTTACCGAAAGAACCAAGAATATTAATCCCTGCAGTCACGAAAGCTTTAAATCAAAATTTCTTGTGGTTGTTGTTGTTTGACTTGCATCCCACTGGGATTTTTTGCACACAGCGTTGGTGTACGGTGCTTTTTTTCAGGAATATTTTGCTGGTTTTTTTTCATGGATTTTCTGTTTGCACAGTCACATAGTCACTTTAACATGTTTTTCTTGTTCGTGTTTTTGTTGTTTTTGTTTGTTGTGGTTGCACCCGATTCAAGAGCCGAATGGCTCACAGGGCTATTCCAAAATAAATAAACTGAAACTGGTGGGGTCATTCCGTGGTAATACTAAAACACAGCAGCCCCTTTTAGCAATCCACAGCCGAATCATAATTTGTATTTATCCTGGAAATAATCCGATTAGCTATGAAATTCACAGATGTCCAGCAGGGGTGGGTCATCAAGTTGTGGTCATGAGGTTGTGTGACCAAACTTCACCACGCTGGTCAGCGGATGAATTTTCAGTCAGGTTATTCTATGGTAAATATTCAACTCTGCTACTGCGATTTCAGCTCTCTGGCTGTGGTTCTGCTCTGCGGTGGAACGATGCGTCACGCGATATTTAATCACGTCTATAAGTTCTCCCTTGCAAATGACACGCGTGTCTCCGTGGGTTTTAAGTTAAATTTACGCGTCTGTGAGTGTGTTGTTATTGTTTTTGTTTAATTCTGGCGCGTGCTTCGCGAGGTTACGAGATGGGTATCTTCTGGAACCCCCACTACGGTCAGCAGAGGCTCCCTTATTCACGTCAGCGATCACCCTCGAGGGAGACCGCACAGCGACTTGCGGAGTCGCTCCGTGGCTCCTTCGTGCCCGGTCAAGAGCCGTGCCTCTCACGCCAATCACCGGTTACAGGGAGGGAGGGATGGATTGAGGGAAGGGGCGGTAAACGTCCAAGGGACTTGCGGGAAAGCCGGGCAGTCTCTTTGCAACTCATTACACACAGAGTGCTCGCCACAAAATTAACCGCAATACCATGCTGGTCTCGTCAAGGGGCATAAGCCATCACGCGAACTGCTAATATCCTCGCAGCAGCGGCTTTTGGCTGCTGGTCATCGAACAAAGACGGTCATCGCATTGCGCGCTTTCAAATACGCTGCTGCGGCCGTGTGGAACTCTCTACCTTTCGATATTATGAAGCCACCGGAGCTATACGCTTTTAAACAATCTGGATTGGAAAACAATTCTTTACAACTGCTTTTTGTGTTTAGTTTGTTGTCCTTTCCCCGCACCTCTGATTAGCACGGTTGGCTACGTACGGTGCGAAAGAAATCAACATGCATACGGACTGTAACGTCTAAGGGACGCGTGGGCTGCTAGTACTTTTGTAAATTGCTTAATCAAATAAAAGAAAATCCGCTATCCATGACCGCCTGACACCATCAGATCCCTGCACTTGAGAATCCGGTTCTATCTGAAGTGGCAGGCGGATTTAAACCTCGGGTCTCCACCGTGATGAACTTGCAGAGGGGCTCAGCCAAACTTTATTTTCACGTCATCGGTTCGTGTGGTCCAGCAACAGTGCAACGCAATACTGGCAAGGGTTGATTTACTAACAATGCTGCATCACATTGATCCCCCGTACAGCCTCAACAGAATGTTGGGGCAGGTGATGTTAGCGGGTAACACCTATAAAGGCTGAAACGGCACACGAAGGGGCTGGGTGGCAAGCATCATGCCCGGCCGCCTTTGTCTCCCAAGTAGCGATGTTTACACACCGCACCAGGTACGCGTTTAAGGCTGAGTCGACTTAGGGGAGGCCTAGAACCGGTTCAGATATTCGTCACTGGTATTGGCCGTGAGAGGGAATCGAACTCGGGTCGCCGGGTTCGTAGCATGGCGTGCTAACCACTACACTACCGCTCCCCTCCACGCACACACGTACACATGCACGTACACAAACAAGCACACACTACACGCACGCACGCCAATACCAATACCCCGCCATTCACCACTACGTTACGGTGACGTCACCTGTGCCAGGCCAGGTGCACTTTGAGGCCACGTGAAGTGTCGAAGGCTCGCTGAGAGGAGGTCTCGGGACAGACCCAGGTGCCGTGGGTTGGCTGACTGAATTGGCTGGTAGATGCACCAGCTGTACCCCCATACTGTGCCAACTTGCTGCGTTTTCGCCACCTGGTGCTCCGCTCGTTGTTGTGAGCGTCGCTCCTCCGCCCTCCGTTGTTGCTGTAGGGCGACTGCCTCCAACTAACCAGTAGCGTCCTTCACGAGCCTCCTCCATAGAAGCCGATCTTGACACCGCTGGTACCAGTCATCGGCAAGTCCACTCAGCTCCACGTCCTCTGGTACCACATCACTCCATCTCTTCTCTAGCCCGTGCCACGCCCGTTTAACCTCCTCGATCCGGCCGAACAAAAGCTGTTTAGTCACACGGTGTCTGGGCATGCGGGCTACATGACCCAGCCAACTTGCTGCATTGTATCCGTCCGAGGTTCCGCACCCCCCCCCCCCCCCCCACATATGTATACACCCACAAAGACAAAGATCCCCCGTATAGCCTTAACATACCGTTGGGGCAAGTGCTTTTAGCGAGCACCTCTGAAGGCCGCCACGGGACACGAGGGGGTGGGTGGCCAACACCACGCCCGGCCGCCTTTGTCTCCCTAGCGGCGATATTTACACATGGCACTAGGGACTCATTTGAGGCTGAGTCGACCTAGGGGAGGCCCGGGACCGGTTCAGATAATCGTCACCGGTGTTGCCCGTGAGCGGGAATCGAACCCGGGTCGCCGGGTTCGTAGCGCAGCACAGCCGCTAACCGTTACACTATCGCACACACACACCCAGACACACACACACACACCCCCACACACACACCCCCACACACACATCCACACACACCCCCACACACACACACACCCCCCACACACACCCCCACACACACACACACCCCCACACACACCCCCACACACACCCCCCCACACACACACACCCACACCCCCCACACACACACACCCACACACACACACCCCCCCACACACACACACCCCCACACACACCCACACACACGGACGTACCCGTGGAGTGCCTCCCCAGCTTGAGGAGGCGCAGTGCGCGAAGGAGGCGCACAGTCTGCAGCGCGCGTCCCGCGTTGCCGAGATCACCGCCGCCGCCACCACCGCCGCCGCTAGCATCGGCGGCGGCAGCGGCGGCCCCTGAGTTGTGCTGCTGCTGCTGCTGTTGGACTCTCTCGATCAGCGCCGTGATGTAGTAGGGCGCGATCGCGAGCAGGTCCACCACGTTGGAGAAGCGCGCGAGGAAGCGCAGCTTGCGGGGCGCGCACGCGGCGCGGCACGAGAACTCGACAGTGAACCACGCGGTGCAGGCGCTCTCGAGCGCCGCGAACGCCTCCTGCGCCGCGGCGCCCTCGTAGGCCGTCATGAGGCACATGTTGACCACCGAGAGGAGCACGAAGCTCACGGAGAGGAGCGACACGGCGCGCGCCGTCCGCGACGACTCGGGGCTCTCGAGGAGCTCGAGGACACGCACCCGCAGCGGGCCGCACCGCGCGCCCTCGGTCAGCAGCAGCTGCCGCTCCTCGTCCTCCTGCGCCTGCTGCTTCGAACCGAACTCCTCGGTGGGGAACTGCTGCTGCTGTTGCTGCTGCTGAGCCGCCGCGGTGCTTAGGATGGTGTCGCGTTTGCGCCCGAAGCGGTCGCGGCAGCAGCGCGCCAGGCTGGGCTCCGAGATGCCCCAGTACTCCATCTCCTGCAGGAAGGCGGCGGCGCAGAGGCCCTCGTGCACGTGCAGGCGGCCCGTGCGGTAGAAGGCGAGGACGTAGCCGAACGTCTCGGCGCTGCGGTCGAAGAAGAACTCGCGCGAGGAGGGGTCCGCGTCGTCGCACAGATCGACGAAGGCGGCCGAGCCGAGCACAGCGCCATCCGCCGGTCCCTCCGGCGCGACCGCCTCGGGGCCTCCCGCTGCGGTCACGGCCGAGCGATCGAGGGGGTCGCCGAACGTCACGCCCGAGTGGGAGGACGACCTGGCCGCCAGCCTCCCGAGGCGGCTGTCCGGATGAGCCTCGAGCAGCTCGCGGGGCACGAAGTGCTTGCTACCACCCACGTTCACGCAGAGGCCGCGGGGCCCGTCCGGGTTCGAGTCCCCTACCGGGTCTGGCGAGTGGGATCCTCTTCTTCTTACTCCTCTTCCTCCTCCTCCGCTAAACCGCCCGACTGAGCGAGCGTACGAAGAGGGTGCTGGCATCGTCAGTCGGGGCTTCTCTGTTTGTCCTCGCTCCTCTGCGTTGCGCGCCGCGTGCTGGGTGCAGGGGTGTTTACCTGTGCGCGCACGCGCGCGTGCGTGCGTGCGCGTGTGTGTGCGTGTGTGCAGAGAGAGGGAATGCGCAGTGGTTAGTGCGCTACGCATAGAATCCGGCGAACTGAAATTGATTCCCGCTCGCCACGACCAACATCAGTGACGATTATCTGAACTGTTCCTGGGCCTCCCTTAGGTCTACTCAGCCACACATTCGTATCAGGTGCGACGTATAAACATTGCCACTAAGGGAGATAAAGGCGGCAGGTCGTGGGTCGTGGTGTTGGTGACCCACTCCCTCGGGTGCCGCTCCGGCCTTAACAGGTGCTCGCAAACAGCACTCGCCCCTACAGTTTGTTAAAGGCTATGGGGGTGTGGGGAATTTGTCTTTGCAGGTAGAGAGCGAGTGGTGGTTACGAGCACGTGTCGGCTCGTGTGTCATCCTCCAGAGAATCGTGACACCCAACACGCTGCGCCGCACTCAGCACCGCACCCGTTGCCCAATTCACGCTCGGGTGATATCATCGTCACCATCGACCATGGTCGATCCACTGCTGGACGAAGGCCTCCCCAAGCAGCCGCCGCCATCTAACGCGACCCCTGCGATGCGGGAATCCACCCAGCAGCTGCCCACGAGCTTCGACGCCATCGCTCCGTCTCCCTGGTGCACGTGCTCTTGTTAGCCGTGGCCGGACACGCATCGTGCGCAGACCTCTGAGTTCGTGGCGCAGTGCTCTAACCACTGCGCCACCAACCCCTCACATACGTACTGGATATATTAAAGCCGGCACGGCACACGAGGGAAGGGGGGGTGATCAGCACCGCGCCCGGCCCGCCTTTGTCTCCCCAGTGCTGAAGTTTAAGCTCCTCGCGAGGTAACTCGTTAAGGTCGAGTCGACCTTGTGACGGCCCAGGACCGGTTCGGATATTCGTCACCGATATTGGCCGTGAACGGCACTCCAACTCGAGTCACCGGGTTCGTAGCGCAGCACGCTAACCACCATACGACCGCTCCCCAGACGTTCACTCCACACACCGATGCGTGTGATCTACACAACACATCGGGACTGATGTGTGGGACATTTGGGATAACTGAGGCAGGCAGTCACGGGGCTTAATGAGATCCAAACTGGTCTCAAGTGCTAACTGATGTACGGCATGCATTCCCACTATTGAGCCAATTAAGAGAGGCGTTCGGTTATTGACGGCCACCCGTGGTGAAAATGGTTTAACAGCGCATTGCACTTGCGATCCGGAGGCCGCCGGTTCGACTCCATCACCTCGCGCGGCAGCTGAAACAAGGGAGCACGTTTCTTAAATCCCCACCCGCACGGCCTCTGCGGGTGAAGCCCGGCTGTAAATGAACCCCGTGTGAATAAATGGTTCCACCGCAGCAATTGGGTCGCGAATGGGCATGTCGCGGTGTGGTGGGGTAACGCGTGGGTACTCGCAGCCTCTTCCTAGACGTGCGTGGATAGCTCCCTCGAGCGGAGGGCCCCTTCCGCCAACAGTGGTGTGACAAAGTCAACTTGCAGGGGCTGCGCCTTTGAGCGCGCCGCTCAGGGCTGTGGCGTCCGCGTGGCGTTGCGACTCGGGGGTTTGAGCTCACAAATGAGGAAGGTCGCGAGTTCAACTCCCGCGTGCGGCGGGGGTTGGGGGTGGTTGAGACACAGCGAATTTAAAAACGAGGACCACTTTACGTGGATATTTTTGGTGGCCGTCCTGTTGGTGTGGTTTGGCGTGACTCCCCCGCTCGCCATAGGAATATGGATTTCCTGCCCACTGGCACAGGGCTTTCAGTGTAGAGGAGCAACCGTTTCCTGCTCTCTGGAGCAGGGAGAACATTTTTTTTACTGCATCAGCTGCCAGTGAATTTAAATTAACGAGGAGCAACCACGCATTATACGTGGCGATGTGGTCGTGCTGTTGCATTTTTGGCACGCTCCCAAAACGATCATTCCTGCATCAAAAAAGCTGCGCTCTCCATCCGACACGGGCGTGTAAATCGATAACACCACAAATATGGTCATGTGTTTGAATAATGCCCCTCATTTATCCAGGAGAGTCCCACTGGGTCTCGAGACCGTTTTGCTGTCGTTGTTGTTGTTGTTATTGTCAGGATCATTCTGCCATGCGATGTTTGGTCAATTCCATTCTTTAGCGCTTAGCGTGTGGGGAGGCAGCAGTTGGAGCACCCGGACAAAGCGCTCCACATTTGGTCTTGGAGATTGCACGCCGGGCTCCGCTCCTGTCAGCGTCATTGTGGGATCGTTATTCATCCGATCCTTACCACCCAGCTCATAACCTTCAAAATAATGGGGTGCCGCGGTGGCCGAAATGTTAACTCCCTCGCCGGGTGTGCAGGAGGTTGTGGGTTCGAACCCTGATGCCTGCTGTATATTTGGAGTTTGCGTGTCTTTCTCTCCCCGTGGTCGCGTGGATTTCTCCGGGTCCTCCCGTTTTTCCCTCCAACAACAATCAACAACATCACGCGTTTCGAGTATTTAGCTGCTATAAATTTCCACGTGATAAACCACTTCGTTGTGATCAGGTTGTTTCTGAAATAGAGCTACATAGCTCATTGAACATTACTTGGTAAAAAAAAATCGTAGTTTATCGTTTCTCTTTCATTGTCTGACATATCAGCATTGTTGTCAATATAATAATTTGCATGAACTTACCAATGGTCGTGCACGTAGAATCCCACTGAAATGTGTTACTCGGAAACACCGCCGGTTGAAATCACACGAGATGTTCCCTTTTATGCTTGGTTCTGTTTGGGGTGTTTATTCATTTAAGCCTCCACTCGGGATAACATGCTAAACTCGAGTCATTTGGCGAAGAGACCGGAGGGCTTTGGAAGATATACCCCACGCACGTGAGTGAGGAACACTCAACTTATACACACGTAGAGCAGAAAACGACTTGCTGTACTGCACACTATGATCACAGTCTGGGTGTCTCACACCGGCTCTATCCCGTCATGATCCACCAACCCCATATGGACGACGAGCATCCATCGTGATCACAACACCCAGAATATATATATTTTTGGTCGAAAAAAGTAATACTCGTATTTTAGATTCGGGCTAAAAAATCGTCATCGTCGCCTTCAGCCATGGTCGATCCAATGCTGGAAGAAGACCCTCCCCAAACCACCTACATATCCAATGCAACGATCGCGCGACTTTCGGACTGGACCACCACCACCACCACGACGCGTGGACCCTACCTCGCTACGCCGCTCGGCACGATGGGAAGGCGCCACTCCGATTGAGCTGGAGCCCAGCCGCTTGAGAATCGGCCGAGCACACAGCGAGCATCACGCCCGCGTAGCTCCTTGGACTTTTTGTTGTTGTTGCTCAAAATGCCCCCGCCTCTCGTGAACGACTAAAGGTGTCGCGGGGCCTTTAACGGCCACTTGCATCGGCACGTGGCGCGCGAGCTTTGGTCAATGCCGAGTCACTGAGCGACTGCGCCGGGGAAGTGAAACCCCGTGGGTTGCGTGCACGGCGACTCAGCGGTGAGCACACGGAACGCTTAGCTGGACGCGATTCCAAATCGTGGCAAAACAAACAAACAAACAAACGGATTAATCACCCAAGCGACCCGGGTACTCGTGCACACGCGTGCGTCGTCACGGTGAAGAACGCTCGAGAGCGGCGCGCGCTGTTGCCGCGACGTGCCCTGGCTTACATTTTTTTGTGTTTCTCACAAACAAACAAAAAAAGCGTTAAATTGCCGCGGAACGGCGCTCGGTTTTGGCACCATATCTTCACGCGCGCGATGCGTTGCGCCGGCCGAAGGCCCGCGGAAACGTGGGACAAACAAACAGCGTGCAACGCGATCTGTTTATATGTAAAAGTGCCCGTTAGAGGAACGTCGTGTTTCGGGTTAGCTGGGCCTTTGCGTGCTCGACGATTGAATGCGGTTCGGAGCGTGCGTGTCTGCGCGTCCAACAGCGAAGTATTTAATCAACAGACTTTTAACGCAACAAACATAAACGTGTGAATTACTTCGTGATTTGATTTTCGGGAAGTCGCGCTAATGGCTACGTAATGATGTCACAATGCACAAATAGACAGCGGCACCTCCCCGATCTCACGTAATTCGATTTATGAAATGTTACCGCTCGCTCAGTAATGCCTCGTGGTGGGAATAATCAAACAAACCCCTTGACAAGTTTGTATAATCTGTCCCGAAGCTCAATCCGTAGAGAGGCAACGTCCATTGTGATAGACCACCGTCATTACCCGACTCTCCCTTGCACATATTATACGTTGTTCATCTGGGCTGACACACCCGGTTGATAAAATATGGGATCCTATATGTTCAGAGTAGAACAGATGTCACGTGCATTGCAGAGTTCCAAACATGAACGCCGGAGTCTGGTGCGGCACCCGCATTCACTCACCTACTTACCCATCGCAAAACCAAGACAAAGATCCCCCGTATAGTCTTTAGCAAACTGTTGGGACAAGTGCCCGTTAGCGAACACCTACGTCACACGAGGGGGTGGGTGGCCAGCACCACGCCCGTCTGACCTTTGTCTCCCCAGTGGCGATGTTTACACGCCGCACGAGGTACTCATGTGAGGCTGAGTCGATCTAGGGGAGGCCCAGGAACAGTTCAGATAATCTCCACTGTTACTAATCGTGAGCTGGAATGGAACTCATGTCGCCGGTTCTGTAACACGGTACGCTAACCACGACATTAACGCTCCCCATTACGAATCACACTCACTCATTCACCCACTCCTTGGCTCACTTGCACACTCACCCATTCACTGAAATACCAAACATTTCACCCACTCATTCACTCAAGTATCAATCATACATCCATTCTCACCCATTGTCATACAGCCACCCATCAACTTACGAATTCACTCATTCGTCCAACCAATTATTGACCCAGTCATTAACTCACCCACTCACCCACTGACTCGCTCAGTCATCTACTCCCTAATTCATTCACTTACCCACTCATTCAGCCACCCACTCACCCGCCCAATTAACCATCAATAATTCACACGCTCACTCGCTCACCCACTCATCCACCCACCGACTCACACCCCCCCTCCCCATTTCACTCACCATATCACTCACTCATTCACCGACCCACACATACACGCACCCACCCTACTCGCCATCTCATTCGCTCACTCATCTCACCTGTTGGAATGACAGCGCAGCCTCGTCCCGCACAGCCACTCCGCACGTCTCCTCTTCGTGGCGGCGCACGCGGTCACGGGACGGAGCCAGCGCATGGCCGTCACCCTCGGCTCGCGTCTCTTGGCGATCTCCGCGAGCCTCCGCGTGTAGCGGCAGCAGCAGCAGCTCACGGATCTCCCCCCCCCTACCACCACCACCCACGCTCCCCTTTTCAGTCACGAGAGTGGCGCAGAGCAAGCGGAGGGAGCGCCCAACACCCACTCAACTCTCTCTCCACGAGCAGCAGCAGCAGCCCATTTGCCGTCCAGCTCCCACGCCCAGTCAAACGCGGCCGCACGCGTTGTGGCAGGGGCGGGGATGGAGGGTGAGCTGGGGGCAGGAGGGTGGCGTTAAAGTGTTGCCACGTGGATTTTTCTGTTGCCCCCCCCCCACCGCCGCCAAACCTTCATCACCACGACAGCGACCACCGCCTCTAGCACCATCCTTCCACTACCACCACCACTACCACCACCACCTCTAGCACCATCCCTCCACTACCACCACCACCGCCTCTAGCACCATCCCTCCACTACCACCACCACCGCCTCTAGCACCATCCCTCCACTACCACCACCACCACCACCGCCTCTAGCACCATCCCTCCACTACCACCACCACTACCACCACCTCTAGCACCATCCCTCCACTACCACCACCACCGCCTCTAGCACCATCCCTCCACTACCACCACCACCGCCTCTAGCACCATCCCTCCACTACCACCACCACTACCACCACCACCACCGCCTCTAGCACCATCCCTCCACTACCACCACCACTACCACCACCACTACCACCATCCCACCACCACCACCGCCTCTAGCACCATCCCTCCACTACCACCACCTCTAGCACCATCCCTCCACTACCACCACCACTACCACCACCACCGCCTCAAGCACCATCCCTCCACTACCACCACCACCGCCTCTAGCACCATCCCTCCACTACCACCATCACCGCCTCTAGCACCATCCCTCCACTACCACCATCACCGCCTCTAGCACCATCCCTCCACTACCACCATCACCGCCTCTAGCACCATCCCTCTACTACCACCGCCTCTAGCACTATCCCACCACTACCACCACCACCGCCTCTAGCACCATCCCTCAACTACCACCACCACCTCTAGCACCATCCTTCCACTACCACCACCACCTCTAGCACCATCCCTCAACTATCACCACCACTGCCTCTAGCACCATCCCTCCACTACCACCACTACCACCACCACTACCACCTCTAGCACCATCCCTCCACTACCACCACCACTACCACCACCACCACCGCCTCTAGCACCATCCCACCACTACCACCACCACCACCACCACCTCTAGCACCATCCCTCCACTACCACCACCACCTCTAGCACCATCCCTCCACTACCACCACCACTACCACCACCACCGCCTCTAGCACCATCCCTCCACTACCACCACCACCGCCTCTAGCACCATCCCTCCACTACCACCACCACCGCCTCTAGCACCATCCCTCCACTACCACCACCACCGCCTCTACCACCATCCCACCACTACCACCACCACTACCACCACCGCCTCTAGCACCATCCCTCCACTACCACCATTACCGCCTCTAGCACCATCCCTCCACTACCACCACCACCGCCTCTAGCACCATCCCACCACTACCACCACCACCGCCTCTAGCACCATCTCTCAACTACCACCACCTCTAGCACCATCCTTCCACTACCACCACCACCTCTAGCACCATCCTTCCACTACCACCACCGCCTCTAGCACCATCCCTCAACTACCACCACCACTGCCTCTAGCACCATCCCTCCACTACCACCACTACCACCACCACCACCGCCTCGAGCACCATCCCACCACTACCACCACCTCTACCACCATCCCTCCACTACCACCACTACCACCGCCTCTAGCACCATCTCCCAACTACCACCACCTCTAGCACCATCCCCTCCGTTGCTGTTAGAGGGCGACTGCCTCCATTAGCCCAGTATCGTCCTTCACGAGCCTCCTCCACAGAGACCGATCTTGACACCGCTGGTACCAGTCATCAGCAAGTCCACTCAGCTCCACATCTTCCTGTACCACATCACTCCATCGCTTCTCTAGCCCGTGCCGAGCCCGTTTAGCCCCCTCGATCCGGCCGAACAAAAGCTGTTTAGGCATGCGGTGGCTGGGCATGCGGGCTACATGACCCAGCCAACGCAGCCTTGCCTGCCAGAAGAGCTCACCGATGGGACTTTGTCCAGATCTTTCAAGGATTTGTGAGCTACTCTCACAATCCAGCCTGATTAAACCCAGGATGGATCGTAGGTAGGAAAGCCTAAATGTTTCTAACCGGCAAAGATGTTCCATTCGGGGGGTCCACGTTTCTAAAGCATAGAGAAGGGAGGGAATGACTCTGGCCGAGAAGACCTGAAGCTTCGTGCAGAGCGACAGACCAGGTAGCTTCCACACAGCGTTACGAAACCGATGAAAAGATAATGCCGCTCGACTGATTTGGAATGAGACCTCTGCTGTTAAACCGGAGGCGGTCATGAGCACACTGCTCAGGTATGGGGAACTCTCCACTCTCTCCACAACTGCCCCATCACCAATTGGGAGTTGTGAGGGTAGAGTGTCCGATGGTACAAAATACCCAGGCAGGTGCTTAGTTTTGGTGGCGCTGATGATAAGTCCCCACCTCTTTGTGGCAAGCTCCAGGTTCAGCAGCAGCGCCTCCAACTCCTCCTCTGAGTGAGCAGCAATTACCAGATCATCGGCATAGATAACATGGTTCAGCAATAGGGAGTCATCCCTTGACCGCACCCGGGCATCGATCAGCTTCCCATTGTATCTGTACCAGATGGAAATTCCTCCGGTACAGCTATTGAATGCTTCACAAACTACGTGGTTGAAATAGATGTTAAATAATGTGAGAGCCAGAGGACATCCCTGTCGCACCCCAAGGTGGATAGGGAATGGCTCCGACTCCCAGCCACATAGTTTTACCCGGGCCCGCTCACCATCATGAAGGTCCTTAATGATCGTGAGCAGAGGGTCAGGGACTCTGAAAGCACGAAGAACAACCCAGAGCCCAGGCCGACTGATGGTATCATAGGCCTTGATCAGGTCAATAAAGCAGAGATGTAGGTCTTGTTGGAATTCCCTACACCTCTGCTGTAGCAGAAGGACAGAAAATATGGCATCTGTGCAGGACCGCCCTTTCCTGAAACCACATTGCGGCTCAGCAAGCCTCTCCTCAGCGTGCCTAGCAAGGCGATGTTGAATCATCCTTGCCAGGACCTTTCCCGGCACACTGAGGAGCGAGATGCCTCTGTAGTTGTTGCAGTCTGTTCTTAAAGAGGGGGACCACCAGGGCATTCTTCCAATCCTGCGGAACCCGTCCAGTGGTCTAGATTTGTTATGATGTCATGTAGGGTAGTCTGTGCACAAACGCCACCCTCCCTCAGCATTTCGCTTGGGAGATCATGTCTGCTCGGTGCTTTTCCTGGTCTCAGACTCTGGATCACCTTGACGACTTCCTCAACAAATGGCACCTCAACCAGCCACTCACAGGGGGTGACTTCTTTTTCCAATATTTGGGGCACAGCAGCCTCGGCAGGGTCATCCTCACCTTGTCCCACGTTGTTATCCAGCGCGAGGCATTCCCCCTCCCTCAGGACCTCACAGAAATGCTCAGCAAATCTGCAAACCTGTTCCTGGGGGTCGGAGATTGATGGTAATAAGTGTGGCGCTGCAAGTAACTTTTTTTTATGGAATTAAAGAGCGATTTGTGATTGCGGGCCATTGAGGCAGACTCTATCTCCTCAGCAACCCGCGATCACACCAATCCTTGCAGTGCCTCACGGCTCTCCGAACCTCCGAGCAAAGGCTGCGGTAAGTCTCCTCATTCTTCGACGTGGGATGCTGTAGCCAATGAGAGTAAGCCTGTCGCTTTTTCTCAGCCAGCTTGAACACCTCCTCTGTCAGCCAGGGCCTCTGGAGAGGCCTGGACCGTGTACACAAAGCAGCCATTGCAGCTGCATGAGCCACAGTCCTAAACCTCGCCCATTTCCCGTCGACATCAGGAGGAGTGGGGGACAATGCCAACCCCAGCCGCAAACGATGATTAAATTATCGCTTGCAACTTTCATCAGCTAGCTGAGATCATGCCACTAAGGGTTTGAATGGGGTCCTGGGTGTACACCCACCACCAGAGTGGAAGAATGGCAGGCACATCTTACAGATGACAAGTCGATGGTCAGTGGGCAGATCAGCTCC